GGATGAGAATCAGCACCTCCAAATCCGAGGCCATGGTGCTCGACCGGAAAAAGGTGCCTTGCCCTCTCCAGGTGGGTGGAGAGGTCCTTCCTCAAGTGGAGGAGTTCAAGTATCTCGGGGTCTTGTTCACGAGTGAGGGAAGAATGGAGCGTGAGATTGACAGGCGGATCGGTGCAGCGTGCGCAGTGATGCGGTCTCTGTATCGGACCGTTGTGGTAAAGAGGGAGCTGAGCCGAAAGGCGAAGCTCTCGATTTACCGGTCAATCTTCGTTCCCTCCCTCACCTATGGTCATGAGCTTTGGGTAATGACCGAAAGAACGAGATCGCGGATACAAGCGGTCGAAATGAGCTTCCTCCGCAGAGTGGCTGGGCGCTCCCTTAGAGATAGGGTGAGGAGCTTGGTCACACGGGAGGAGCTCGGAGTAGAGCCGCTGCTTCTCCACGTCGAGAGGAACCAGTTGAGGTGGCTCGGGCATCTGTTCAGGATGCCTCCTGGACGCCTCCCTGGGGAGGTGTTCCGGGCACGTCCCACCGGGAGGAGGCCCCGGGGAAGACCCAGGACACGCTGGAGAGACTATGTCTCTCAGCTGGCTTGGGAACGCCTTGGGGTCCCCCCGGACGAGCTGGAGGAGGTGTGTGTGGATAGGGAAGTCTGGGCGTCTCTGCTTAGACTGCTGCCCCCGCGACCCGGCAACGGATAAAGCGGAAGAAAATGGATGGATGGATGGATGGACATAAAGAAACGTGATCATTTTAGGCGATTATACATTTATTTCAGTCATATTTCGGCGATTCAACAATTTTCAGATGACATAAATTAGAGAAGCCGATTGAGATTACAAGTGAGAGATTTTAGGTTTTAGTTTTGCGATGGTTGGACTCTTGTGCGTTTTCCTATTCTTTTCTATGTACATTTTTCCACGATAAAACTGAGATGATTGTCTGGAAGAGTTCTGAATATTTTTTGTTGTTAAAAAAAACAAAAGAAACGTGTGACCCATCATTTGATTCCCACCCGAGTCATTTAAAAAACACAAAAGTAAAATTATTAGCGTATCATTGGAAAGACCCAGTTTTGACTTTGCTCCTATTGACGTCATAAAATGGATTATTTTAAATGCTAGAAATGCCGCATTTATGTTTTATAGAATATTGTAGTAAAACTTGGGAAATGTTAATAAACCTAAACTTGTAGACTGTATTCATAAATTATGTTTTCACAATTTTTGTTTCTGCAAAAATGTGCTTTGTGACAAAATTTTATTTTATCCATCCCTGAACAACCTTATTGGAGAAGAAAGCCTACATGTAAGACGGCGGATTATAGATTTGTGTACCTCTCCAGGATAGAGTGAGCAAGAAAGAAATTAAACTTTTTGAATTGATCATTTTGTTTTTTTTCCCTTTAGAACAAGGGAAGATGTGGAACAGGAGCCAGTTTCTCAACATCACAACGGCACTAAAAGTCCATTAAGAAAGCCACTGGTTAAAAAACAACAACAAAAAACTAATAAGTGCTTAAAAATGCTTTACATGAAAAGATATTTTTGATATATTTCAACAATTGCTATAGAATATTTCAGGCTACTTTTCACATTTCTTCAAAAGGGACCTGTTAGGCTTTACTTGTGAAAGCAAATATGACATTCAAATTGTATTTAAGCTACATTTAGCACACAAAAATCAAAAGAAGCTAATATTCAAAAGCTAACGTTTGTAGCACTTTTGCTAGCTGTGCACAATAATTTATCTACTAGGATGCTGTACAAATATATGTTTTGAGTGTATAAAAGGTAAAACTAGACAATATTAGCTTATCATATGACAAAATAAGGATCTTTGGCATTTCACTATAGAAAAATAAAAGTAAAAATTGCTTTTCAACTGCCTTCTCAGTGGCTCAAGAAACAAAATGGCCGACTATTAGTGACAAGATGTGTTTGAGAAATTCGAGCTCCAATCTTGGTTGCAGAAAAGATCCAGAAAGTTCACAATTTTCTATTTAATTCACAAAAGTCTATCACTATTATTGCAAATTTGATCACATTTGAACTTCCTCATGTGTGTTCTCACGATACAGGTGAAAAATAATTGTATTTTTGAGAGAATACAATAATCAGTGATATACTTTCACAATAGACTTTCTGGCAAATGTGAAATTTACAGATACTAGCTACTTTGAGATAGTTTTCTCACAGCAGCTAATTTTAATAATATTTTTTTGTGTTGCCAAGGTTTGATTTATTTCGAGCCTAGTTTGTTTCCTTCCAGTATTAATCAAAAACAAATTAATACACGGTTTAAAGGAGAAGTAAGTGACTTGACGCGTAAAGGAGAGATTCACTGGTCGTATGCCCAAGTTTTAATGCTTTCAAATACAGTTTCCTTTGCCAAACTCGCCTGAATAACAAACATGTGGGTTTGGATGGAGGATTGGTGCGTTAATATCTGTACCGGCTTGAGCATTAGGGCAAATACCAGACAACAGTAGAATTAGAAACCACATGGACCAATCCCTAGTTTAGATACTTGAGCATGAATTTGAACCCTTTTCCACCAAGGTGCTAGTTTTGGGGCTGTTTCAGTTTGGTTCAGTTCCAATTACCAGAGCAATCCACTGTTTACTAGCAGCAGTTAGCCTTTGTTAGCTTCTCAATTTTAGCTATATTTCACTTAAGCAATTAAGACCAATTTTATTTCACTTTCCCAATGGCTTTCAACTTAAAAAACAAAAAAAAAAAAACAAAAAAAAACATGCTATGACAAAGCAGTTACAGAAAAGATCCAAAATCTAATTTAAAAAAAAAAATACAAAATTGACCAAAGTTGATCACTGTCATTGCAAATGTAATCACATAAAAACTTTTTAATGCATGTTCTCACAATCCCAGATGAAAAACAAGGTCATTATTGAGTTAAGTTTATAACATTCATAAACCATGTGAACCAAATGTGAACTGGCTCCAGCTTAGTAGAAAAGGGTATCTATAGAAAAACCAGTAAAGGGGCCCATTGCATCATTGCAAGATAGGCCCAAAGCTTTAGAAGAGGCGTGAGCTCTAAAATTACATATTTTGATGGCAACTTTCCATGGTAAAACCAAAATAAAACTTGCAATAAATTCTTATTGGTCCAGAGACAGGACACCAGGAAGTGTTTGCTTCCTTCCGCATAAATAATAAATAAATTGATCACTTACCCCTGCTTTAAACTTTAGTCACAGTCGGCCCTTACTTGTAGCCAGTTTACGTTGTCAATAAAATAAACAAGACAGTTTTTAAAGGCACCGTATAGAAACAATTCCTTCATATTATATTTTGTGAACTCACTGCATGGACTTCTTCACTCCAGTCCATCCAGTGCATATTCCCATACATCTGGCGTATTCGTAATGCCGTAAAAACATGGAAAAATAAAGACGTCATTTTGAGCACGGTCTCTCTTGAGTGGACAAAAAAGACCATTCCAGAAGTGTGCATAACTTTGCCGTTTTTTCCAATGTATGCTTACATATTAAGAAAAAAATAACAATATTGTGGGCCTGTGGTAACATGGCCATGCATTTTTTTAAACATTTACAAACAGGTGGAGACACAGAGAGCCTGGCGGGAAGTGGAGTTTTGATAATGTGAAGGGATAAAAGCAATTTTTTTCTCTCGTAAAGGCTAGTATTGCGATAAACTGCCCAGGCCAAAATAAAATATATGAAAACAATAATCACAAAATATTTTAACAATATTCAAAAAATAAATGACTTCAGTACCCTTTCGGAGGTGCAAAGGTAATAGGAGCGACAAGCCGCATGGTATTTTAGAAATTAAAGTGTGTATGACAAGTTTAACTATTTCTTTTAGAGATAAGAGAGTGCTTTTGAAAAGTATTAATACACTTTAACTTCATGAATTCAAAGTGTATTAATACTTTTATCACAATATTTCAGATTTAGAAGGATGTTCAAGTTTAGGACTCTCGGAAATCTCGTCCTGCATCTGTTTTTCCAGACTATAAAAAATGACTGTGCAATTCAAATTCAAAGAATATTTTTGCTGCTGATGGATATTTAAGAGTCCCATTCAAGTTTTGGGAATTGTTTTTGTTTGAATTAATATTAGCTCTGGATAATTATATATCACAAGGGATTCTAAGCAGGACACTATTTATTTATGTCTTTAATCTATTATTAATATTTTCACTTGTAATAAATGTCAGAAAGTAAATATATATTGTGTGAAATGTTCTTACTTTTCCCATTACTATCGTCATCATCAACTTCCTGGTTTTTCTTCATCAAAATCTCAACATATTTTTGTACTTTTCTTCAGAAACTGCGGCTCAATTGGTGTAAAACTATAACTTATATCTACAACGGCTGCTATCCCACCAATTACAGTAAAACATTAAGTATCGTCGTCATACGCACTTTAAATGAAAAGACATTTGGCCCAAACTGCCATTTTTCAGGAAAATGTTGATCCTCTGCAGCAGAATACATTCAATCAAAGGGCTGAAGTAGTAGCTCTAGAAACATAAGCAAAAAATTATATTTTGTAACAGATTAAAGGTACATTTTCTAATAGACAATTTTAGTTTGTTGCATAATTCTTGTCCTTCAAATAAAATAATGTATTGTCAAGAACATATGAACTCGCAATACTTTCAGACCTTGTTCTTGATACAGTGCAAAGGGAAAAATCAATCCAAAAAAATTTATAAATATAAAATAAAACTCTAAATGGAAATAGAAAGCTTACACTTTTGAGCCGGGCAGTTCGGAATCTCAGCGTTTTCAGACACCAAAAGCATTTGTGAATGGAACTAAAGTGTCCGCAGACCTACTATACATTTACCCCTTAATCGCAAACATTAAAACAAAGGACGAGGAAAAGTGGAATTCTGGTGCAAAAAGAAGAGGGAATGAAGCCACCTAAATAAGTATAAATAGTTTTATCGCATGCATGAGGGTGGACTGGATGAGGCGGGGCAGAGGGGGAGGACAGGGTCTAGTTGCCCCACCAGTCCACCTGGGTGTGAGAGTAGTTTCCTCCGTAGCCATCGGCTGCGTAGAAGTTTCCAAATCCTCCTGGAAGAAACACATACGATAAACAGAGTTAACAGGAGAAATAACATGTGGCAGAAGTGGGATATTGCATGTTGATAATAATCCGATGTAAATGAATGCACACTGTTAAAAAGCATGTCCTTAAATACTACATTGTGCATTATTTTAAATAATATTTTTGACCATTAAAGGGACTTGGTTAGAATGTAAAAATACTATCTCATATCATAAACATATATGGTTAAACAAGTAGAAAGGGTAAAGAAAATGGTTCTTGCCCCTCTGTTTTTATTGCTTTTCAAATTCTGAAATTACCAGCTAAAACCGACATGTGATTGTTAATGCTGCTTTCACACCGCATCATGCGCTGCATCGACTTTCAATGCAAAGTCAATGGTGGTGAGCGTTCGAGCGTCGAACTGTATGTGCGTCTCGGCACGCACGGACTGTTCGCCAAAGGCGCAGCAGAGGCACAGGAGCGGAAAAAATTTATACATTTTACCGAGCGTTTCCCAGGACGCTCGGGGCAGCGACCAATCAGAGAGCCGCAAAGTGATCACGGGGACATTAGCGGCCTGAGCAAGCAGACTAAACATACTCGTAAACAGCCAAAACAGGAACTATATCAGGACTAAACGTGGGTTGACAATGGGGGACATAGTGCTTGTGAACATATGCGTTTTCATGCTCCCGTGACTTTATGCAATTGCTTTGAGCGTGTTCGCCGATGCGGAAGAACCGTTTAATAATAAAATAAACGTATGGCGCACCTCTGTGAACACATACTGCTGTTCTATAAAGTCTCTGGAAGGTCTCTGAACACAAAGACGTTGCAGAGCTGCATTATTGGAGAAGAACTTTACACAAAAAGCCGCTAGCATAACTCTGTTAGCATCAAAGTCTGCCTGCTACTTCTGCCACTTCCGGCGGGCGCCACTGCTGTTCAGGACTTCTGGTGTGAAGACCCCTGCGTCTGAAAATTAGAGAATGTGCGTCTGGTGCGTGAGGCGTCAGTATTCCAGCGTTGGCGGTGTGAAGGCACCTTAAGAGTGTCTTTTCACCAGAGAAATTGACAAAACTGATTCATGAGCAATTATGTAGTTTTAAAAATTGTTCAATGGCATCTGAGATGATGACAAGACTGAGACAGGACGTTCAAGATAAAAGATGGATGGATCTAATAATAACTATTTGGCTTATTATTTCCTGTAATATTGAAAAATACCAAGTGTTCATAACTTGAACCTCACCTCCTCCAAAAGCGCGGTTCCCTCCATGTCCGGTCTGGTTGCGACCTCCACGCGCTCCAAAGCCTCCAGCATTTGTTCCGGCTGCAGTCTGACGATAATCACGTGCCCCGAATCCACCGGAAAACCTGAAAACACACATTTTACACAATCAAATACAAGTAATCTATCCAACACACTAACAGCTTTGCAGGTGCCAGCGTTACCTCTTGCGCCCCCTGTTGTTGCTCTTGTGCTGGTGCTCGTACGCCAGAGACTCGAGCCACGATGGCACCTCCTGTTTGGCCTCCACCAGGATGTCCAGCAGGTCTTTAGTGATGTTTCCATTCTTGTCGTTGAAGAAAGACGTGGCCAGACCTGCGGACAGGAAGAGATTTTAGGTTTAGGGCAAAAAAATAAAAAAAATACTCCCAGACAATCCAGATCACAGAAGGGTTCGCAGGATTCTCAAAATTGTAGAAAAAATAATTGGATTTAGAATCTCACCGAGGTTTCCTACTCGTCCTGTGCGCCCAATGCGGTGGACGTACTCCTCGATGTCACTGGGCAGGTCGAAGTTGATCACATGTTTCACGTTGGAAATATCCAGACCACGAGCCGCCACCTGCAGGTCACACAGCGTCATGGTAACACGGCTGAAGCAGGGGTCTCAAACTCAATTTACTGATATATGCACATGCTGAGATAGATCTAAGTCACTAAAACTCCAAGTGAATTAACCCCTGGATTGCACAATATACAAAACATCAAAACCAAGACTCAAACGTTTGTTTATAGCTAATAATTTGCATCTGTGACTTTGTAATCATGACGGTATTTTGACAAAATAATTAGTTTTATTGAATAAGTTTAGATATATCTATGTTTTCAGGAAGAAAACATGTTTTCTTCCGGTCTTCCTGAAAATGTGAGACAGGCTCCTACGGTTCTTTTTATCTGAAGCTACAACTGAAGGACTATCTTCAATCATTTTAATATACAGTGAATTATGATTTCAATGCCTTGTGTGTTTGTTTCTATCATTTTTATTTTGTTAAACACAGAGGTGGCTTGTGTTTGAACTGGGTTCTATGTGTATGAGTAAGTTTCCTCCGGGTGCTCCGGTTTCCCCTGCCACTAAAAACATGCACAATAGAGCTGGAATGTGCCTGCTGTGGACTCACCACCTGCAGGAGGATCAGTAAGGGGCTGGTGCTATGTGTACTGGGTGCAGCTCGGACTGCCACCCCCGACCCAGAAATTGATTAAGGGGAAGAAAATGGATGGATGGATACTTATACAAATTAACTTGCCTCGACTAAAGGGTTTAATGTTTACTTTTAGTTCTTACTTATATTGTTTAGGGTTCACTGTTGTAAAAGATGTATAACACGTCATATGTGGGATAGCACTCTCGCCTCTCAGCAAGAAGGTCCTGGGTTTGAATCCTGGTCGGAACGGGGTTTTTCTGAGTGGAGTTTGCATGTTCTCCCCATGCTTGCGTAGGTTTCCTCCGGTTACTCCGGTTTCCCCTACCACTAAAAACATGCAGACTAGATTAAATCCTCTAGCTCCAGTAGTCCTGACCAAGCCGAGCATCAACATCTGGAGATGGTTTCCCTGGCGCTGTACTACGGCGACCACTGCTCCTGACGTGAGTCTTAGTGGGATCAGGATGGGTCAAATGCAGAGGATGAATTGCCCTACGGGGATCAATAAAGGGCACCTTTACCTTTAGCGTATATTAGCCCAGACTCTCAGTGGGGGCGCTCGGACATTAAGCTTGTCCACTAGGGGGCCACAGAACACCTTTTAAGAATCCAGCGCCAAAGCAGGTGGACACTCACCGCAGTGGCCACCAGGATGGGGCACTTCCCGGACCGGAAATGGCTTAGCGCCTCCTCGCGGTCTCTCTGGGAGCGGTCGCCGTGGATACTGGTGCAGGCGTAGCCCTCGCGATACAGGAAGTCCTCCAGAGCATCTGCGCCCTTCTTTGTCTCCACAAACACCAACGTCAGCGAGTCTTTCCCTGGAAGAGCGCGGCACGTCAACAGGAGAGCAGGGACCGATATTGTTCAGGCCACAGCACAAGAAGAAACAGCTGATTATCAGCAGCTTCTAATCATTCTAAACAGTTTTGACATTTATTGAATTCAAGATTCTAAAAGTCTTACAAACCACAATCCTGGTCTGCTAGGTGTCCGTCAAGGACAATCAACACAGGTCTAGATAATGGGGACTTTCAATTCCATATATTTTTCTAAATGATACTATGTTTTTACATTTACTGAAGATTTTAATGAAAGTCAAAATAAATTAACAAATATTTTTTGTTCAGACAGTGAAAGCAAAGTATCGACATCGACCTCTGTGTTAGAATCAAAACATAAAGCACAGGTACTTGATTTTAAAGAAATTCTATCCCAGTGTGGAACATGGGGCAGAAACAGAATTTCATATCAGAGAGAAAGTGACAAAACAAGAGTACTTCAACATGCATCAGTGTCTCAGTCCATGCTTAGATATAGCATACGCCCCCCTCAGGCCAAAGTGTGTAACAACCTAATACTCACAGTGCTGCTATGGTTTGACTGCATTTTGCTGTGAACAAAGCGATGCCAAAAATGGGAAAAATAAAAGAGTAGCTTTGACTTTAATCTCGGTGATCGGTGAAGGCCACACATTGTTGTATCATGCAGGAGACTGAGAATTCTCAATTAACAAACACTGATGTTAATGCGTGGGAGTTGATGAAAAGATGAGAATGGATTAAAACAAAAAGATCAGTCAGAGCTCTCTACTTCCAAACACCACACTGAACGTTTAAGAACTTCCAACAATGTGTGTGTACAAAAGTGTATACCATGAAAGGTCAGCAGCAGTCCACAAAGTTCAACATGGGAACACCACTGCCATCTACTGTTGGCAGTGGTAACTACATCCCCCCACTGCAAGTCATCTAAAGCATTTTAGAGAGAGCAGGCAGTTGTAATGAAAGCAAAATAACAGGCAAAAAAAGACCTCAGCCACTCTGTCCATAACACAGAACAGACCAGAATGTTTTGTGAAGGCAGGGTGTACAAGACCGATTTTGAACTACAATGTAATTTGTAAAGTGGATTTTGTACACTATTAATCACTGGCTGTATGTGTAACAAGGAGGACATACAGTACAAGCTTGTAATATTTATAAGATCCTTAAGCTGCTGCCCATAATTCAAGGAGGTTTGAATCAATAGATTCAATTATGATTGAATCAATCATAAAAATAATGTTTTATAATTATAACATTTGTCTTTCTGTCCATGTGCCTAAATAGATCCATTCTGTCAATATCTAGGAAATTAGAGAAATTATGTACTTATTATTAAAGAAGACATAACATGCTTCTAAATCATCTATGATAACGTTTAGCACAACAATGATCTCAACATTAACCTGAATTAAAAGTGTGGAAATCTGCACACTCCTGAATTTGCTGATAAACATGGTCGAATGGCCCTTCAGGCTCCACTCAGACAGTTGGCCATCAGCAAATTTAGTTTTGAGCAAAGTGCCTGCACAACACTGCCGAATCGTCAGGGCAATCCATCGACCCGGGACAACAGTGCGAAAGGTTGGCGTGTTGTTTGGGCCTATGTCTGCATTTTGTAGGCATCAGAGGGAGACCAGAGGAAGACCAGAGACAGACCAGAGACAGACCAGAGAGAGACCAGAGAGAGAGACCAGAGAGAGAACAGGAAGAGAGACCAGAGACCAAAGAGAGACCAGTCACCAGAGAAAACAAATTATAATCCTAACCCTACAGCAAGTTTCTCATCGATGTGGAGCATTATAAACATTTTCAAACATGTTTTTTTCCCAACTTTAGCAAAGACAATAGCAATTCCGTGCATGTTTGAGGCAACCCAAACTCTGACGGTGAGAGCTTAACTCGCCCAAACACGGCTCTACGGCTCGTTACCCTGTCACTATGCAAAGTACTGCTCCTCGTGTGACATGCGTGTGGTAGATAACCTTCTTTCCCTGGCCCACATGAGCAACGGCAGAACTATTATGTGTATATCAAGACGCTCAAACCTAGCGGATAGTTTGTTCAGCGTGTTATGTCTCCTTTAAGAAACAAAAAAATAAATATGCGTACTGCCCCTTCCCGAACACACACTGTCCCAAACCTGAAGTAGCCATGTGACAGAACCTAAAATGCTGCATGAACGTTTTATTCTAACCAATGAAATGAACCGAGGCATAATGACGGCAGCGCCCTTAAGAGGAAAAGTGCAGGCAAAATTATATCTGAATAATATGGGACTTTAAAGTGCAGGTCTTACCAGGTTTCTCTAGGTTGTCTGCTGCATTGTCCTGTGCCTCAGTGGGGACGACTTTAGATAAAACCAGACCACCAAATATTAGTACGAGCATTTTCCCACAGAGAGGTGTAAACTGGGCAGCGACCAGTGACGAGTGAACGGGCCATAATGTCAATAGAGCATGTCCAAAAAAAGTCCCTATTTCACTTTAATCTACTGGAAAAGTTATGTTATGTGAACATGTGGAGCTATCATATACTGGCCATTTAAGGAGAGCCATTGTCTATCTATATGGTGAGCTTAGCGACATCAGGTGGCCAAAAAGCATATTGCATTTGTATACTTTAACAAATTAAACTTATTAGTAGTTATTAGTAATGACCGCAAATACATCAGCAAATAGTTTAGTCTACTGAAAACCTGCCCTTAAAAGGTCCGATATTATGCATTTCCAGGATAAACACTTCAGCATTTGTACAACTTATAATAGTGCAAAACAAGTACACAGGCTGAGTCTTTGTGCAGTTTATAAAAGAGCTTTGGAAAAGTGGATGTGGTCGTGTTGAAACCGTCACGGCAAAAACTCAAAAACCACTTGAATTCAGGTCGTGTTCTAGATTTTGGGAGAGATTTTTGTAATGCTTATGTGAGATGTGAGAATATTTCAAAAGAGGAATCTGACTGGTTACATGAAACGTGAATACAGGCATAAACTACAGAGGTCCATGCTTGAAATAAGAAATAATGGGTTGGAAAAGTGTCAGAAACTTCTTGAAAAGAGAGTGATAAATAAAATCTCATGCCAAGTAAAACTATTCACAAACGACGTATTGAAATCCTGAATTCAAGTGGTTTTAAATCCTCTCGTGTTTTTGTAGTGCTCGATGATCAAAACTGAGATGGCGGTGGGAGAGGACGAGGCCTAAATATAGTGGACTCAAACATGCACGGAATGGATGGGACAAAACACAACTCCAGGTTTGATGTGGATGAGGAGACATAGTGATAGCTGGTTTTGCATAATATAGGACCTTTTCTACACCCAAAACGGCACAGTGATGTAAGATCGTCCTGGCACTGACATAACGTCCACTGAACACTGGTAATGGGGATTCACGCGCACGCACACACACACACGCGCACACACAAACATAGGCGCACGCAGACAAACACAGGCACACACACACAGACAAACAGAACACTTGTAATGGAGCTGCATACACACAGACAAACAGACCCACACACACAGACATAGACACACACACACACACACACACCCACACACAGTCACAGACACACAACAGTTCATATGATGCAGGGCTCTTCTCACCTGTGGCGCTCAGCAGATCCAGGAGGAAGGACCGTTTGTCACTCTCTTCGACCCAAACCACTTTCTGGGTGATGTTTTCTGAAGTGGAGCCAACGCGGCCCACTGCCAAGAAGATGTACTCCTCCAGGAAGTCCCGCGCCAGGATCTGAACACACACGTCCAGCATGACACATCTTTGTCCTGGTCTCAGCTCTCTGTCCTGAAGTCCTCTAAAATTTGTCCTGGCCCTAGGTCTCTGTCTCAAATTAGTCCTGGTCTCAGATCTTTGTCTAACATTAGTCCTGGTCTCAGGTCTCTGTCTCACATTAGTCCTGGTCTCAGGTCTCTGTCTCACATTAGTCCTGGTCTCAGGTCTCTGTCTCACATTAGTCCTGGTCTCAGGGGTCCGTCTCACATTAGTCCTGGTCTCAGGTCTCTGTGTCACCTGTATTTCTTTGGGGAAGGTGGCGCTGAACATCATGGTCTGTCTAATTCCTTTTGGGGGCATCGTGTCCTGCTCCACGATGCGTCTAATCTGAGGCTCGAACCCCATGTCCAGCATCCGGTCGGCCTCGTCCAAAACCAGGTAACTGTTGAAAAGCGGTGAATGTGAAGAGAGAGAGCCCAGAACAGATGAACACAAACTGGAGAATGCGTTAGTCTCACTTGCAGTAGTCCATGCCGATCTTGCCACGCTCCATCATGTCGACCAGACGTCCTGGAGTGGCCACTAGCAGATGGCAGCCTCGCTCAAGGTCCCGAATCTGACCCCCGATGTCTGCCCCACCGTACACCACGCAAGGCCGTACTCGCGAGCGATATGAAAACTAACAAGAGGAAAGACAGCCATGCGGTCAGAAATACAATAAAAATACTCTGTAGTATTCATGTAATCAAAAGTCTCCATACCTTTCTGGCCTCGTCATAAATCTGCAAAGCCAGTTCTCGAGTCGGAGCCAGAATCAGAGAAATGGGATACTGCTTACGACGGCCGTACTTTCCGTTCTCCTGTTTGACATTACAAATACACAAAAGTTCAGCTTTCGCCGTGGTGAGTCACAGCGAGTATTTGTATTCGGCTCCTCTGTGTCTCTCGCTCTCTCTGTTCGTCTGTCTGTCTGTCTCTCTCTCTGCTTCACTGGCTGAAACCTTAAAATTACGCTCGCACAAATGAGACAAAAGAGTGGCCTGTCTTTGCACTTCCGTCTGCTCACCTGTCCGGAGGCTTTGGCTGCATTCAGAGCTTCTCCTGGACCCTCGGCGTAAATCTGGCTGAGAATGGGCAACAGGAAGGCTGCGGTTTTCCCTGATCCTACAGAGGAGACCGACACAATATCAGCTTGTATACATGACAGTGTGAGCGACTGTGTGTGTGACTACATGTTTTCTTCTAAGTTTAAGGCGTCAAAAGTTCTCTAACCTAGCTTTTTTACACTTTTGTCTCATTAGAACAGGGGTGTCAAGCTCATTTTGGTCAGGGGCCGAAAACAAATACATTACATTATGAAGATATTTAGATACGAATTTAATGTCACTTTAGCCTGGCCATTGTCATCCGTAAACTCCGGTCAATTATCAATTCCCTGCATTTACCCTCTGGGTCTAGTCCCAGTGTCTGCAATTACAACGGTTGAATCCCATACGACCAATCAGCGAGCACTGGAGGCGGGGGTTAAAGGTAGATGTCATTGACGTCAAGAGTTTGCGCCGAATTAGCTGGTTGTAGTTTGGCGATGGCGACGAATACAAGGTAAAGGCAGGGCTGGACTGGGACAAAAAAACGGCCCGGGCATTTTTTCCTTCTTAGCGGCCCAGGCAACTCAAAAAGTTCAAGGAGCCATATTTGACAAAAAAACTAAAAACAACATCTGTCTGGAGCCGCAAAAAAAACAAAACAGCGTTGTATAAGGCTTATATAGGTAACAGGGGCTGAAGCTGTATTAGCTACATTAGCTACATTAGCTACCTTTGCTACATTAGCTATATTGGCCTAATATCTAAATGACAAAGTAAAGGCTACAAACATATAAAAACCATTCATGATTATCAAATGTGTATTTTCATTGCAGCGTGTCCTGGAGAGAATGACGCACCACGTGACAACTCTGCTTTAAGTTTAACCTTCTTGAAATTGTACAAATACAGTAAATAAATCTGCTTTTTGGCTCCGAGTTCACCTGCATCACTGTCTGTTCATATCGATCACATCACAGGCTGAAGTTTGCTGGAGCTGAATGTCCTTAATGGCCTTTTCTTTCACCGTCTTTGCGGAGGTATTTTAAGTCTGAAAATAGGTGTTCTGACTTTATGATGAATGAATCTTTCAGTGAACAGTGTTTAAAGCTTCATTGTTCCTCCTGTTGCAACAAAACTTTTCATTACATTGACTGAAAGCAAATGTTCATTCTCATTCTTAGTCCAGTCTTATCGACTCTCTCTATTTATCTTTGGGATCCATGCGCACACACAGTTAAAATTGAATATTACTTATACAAGTTTTTGCAGCATTGAAAAACGTCAAGAATGTTTTTCCTCCTACAGAAACCACATTCAAACTAGAAATAAAATATAGCCCTCACACTCCATTTTCAGACATTTTGTAAAAGGCTCCAGGAGCCACTTTAGGGGCACTAAATGTTGCTGACCCCTGGTTTGTACAGTATGTGGAAGCAAATACTGTAGAGGATCAGGATGTCTGCAGTTTCAACAATAAAATAAAGTGCAATAGCCTACATTAAACAGAGTAATAAACATGTCTCAGAGTGAGGGAGGTGGACACAGACAATATTGTTTGTTACAGGGATGAGAATTGGTAAAAATGTCTGAAATGCATATTGTTAGCCATTTGCTGGCTCTAAATCTGTTTAATCTGTTCACAACATTTTACTTTTGGGCTCAAACATGAACTTTTAATGCAATGGAAAATGTAGCTTTAATTTTGAGGAGAGGGGAGACGCGGACTGTTTCCTGCAGCGGTGCATTTATTGGGTGCACAAATTACGAAAAGACACGCATGGTCCTGTGCGCGTTTATGGTCTTGGGTACATGGGCACGTTGCGGCTACGCGCTCACCGTGTTGTGTTGTGAGCGGTTCCCGGTGAGCGTCCAGCTCAGAGCCGCTGGATGTGGGAACACTGCGGCCGCTGAGGTGGTGGAATCCCGTTCGAGTACATACAGCAGGTGCCCCGCGGACACGCGCGCTCCCCTTGAACATTTCTCAACGGATTTACACTTTTCACAAACATGTGTTTTGTATGAGGCAGACAGACCGGCCCAAATATGGGCATTGCCCGGTACGCCCCATGGCCAGTCCAGCCCTGGGTAAAGGTGTTCTTTATTAATCCCCATAGGGCAAATTGTCCTCTGCATTTGTCGTTGCTTGGCTTGGTAAGAGCTACCAGAGCTGGAGGATTTTACCTAGTGTGCATGTTTTTAGTGGTAGGGGTAACCGGAGCACCTGGAGGAAACCTACGCAGACACAGGGAGAACATGCAAACTCCACTCAGAAAGACCCTGTTCCGACTGGGATTCGAACCCACAACCTTCTTGCTGAGAAGCTAGAGTGCTATCCAATCAGCCACTGTGCCTCCTTTTTTTTTTTTATATATATATTTTTTAAGTTAATACGATAGTAAAGTAATCCGTTCTGGTTCTATTGAAATATTTAAGCCAGAGCAAGAGGAATGTTTAGCAAATGTAATCGCTGGCAAAGATTGTGGCGCTACTCCAAGCGGGCTCCGTCAGTATCAAAGGAAATGGCTCGGCTAAATGCTAAACGCTAGCGACTCACTCTGGCGCATTACCTACGTCACGGACAATAAACTCAGATCTAATCGTTTCAATCTACAAATGGAGTTAAGCCCTCCCACCTGTTAACAGAACTCAATGGAGCAAAGCCAGACCTTGTACGAAATGTAATTTGTACTATGGTGTGGTACGGTAGCCTGGTCACCTGACAATTTCTGGTTGATTTTTCTGAAAACAAAATGTGTTCATTGTTAGATTTTAAAAAGCCATAATCCAATTTTTTTTCTAATGAGTTCATAAAAATGCTTATTACTACATACAAGTTGCATTATAAACTTGTCCTAAAATGTTCGTTTCATGTTAATGGCTACTTTCGGGTTTATTGCGATCGCTTTTTGTCACATTAAAACAGTTTTTTGTCATGAAAACGTTAACAGATAATTCTAAAAACCTCCATGCATGTGTGTTAAGAATGTACATGTTCTTAACACACATGCACACACACGTATTCCCCAATTAACATTTAAAGGTGTTGATTGATTTATATTTGTTTATTGAGCGTGGCTAGCTACGCTAGCTTCTCTGCACAGACAGAAGTAGTGACAGGCGCTGAAAGCTCATTGTACTGTACTTGTGGAGTAATGTTAGTTTTTTACACACCTGAATTACAAACAGAGATTGCGTTGCCAAAGGGCAGCGGACATTATTGGTTTCAGAGTTCTGTTATCAAGAAAACAAGCGTTTGAAATCATATTTAAATCAATGGAGCGTTCTGCTGCTGTGAGGAGCTGTATAATAAATTATAATTAAGTATTTGAAACTAGCGGTACTCTTTCAGTTATATATTTTGTTAGCAGTGCGTTGCTTTTGTACCATTTCATCAGTGATTGTTGTACAGCTTACAAGAAGTTGCGCTAATGCTGATGTCAGCATACGTATCAGATCGCAAATTAAACTAGATGGCTCCATGGGATGAGAGCAGAGGGGAAATGAGAAGCCTGTGAGCGAGTTGAGCGGCGGTGCTAAACATTCAAACCTTGCAGAAACGGGAATAGCTCCTTTATGATTGGAATAATATCTGAACTCTGAACATTGTAAAGCGCTTTGGGTGACCTTGGTCTGTAAAATGCGCTATATAAATAAACATTACTTACTTACTTTAAACAAAACTGGACATAATATTAAGTTAAACACATAGTTTAATATTTAACCATTTAATTCTAATGATGTGTTGGGTTAGATTTTGAGAATAAAATTAAAAGTTGGTTGTTTTCATGAAAAGATAGATGATGACAAACATGCCTTGGTTGCAGATTAAATCAATGTTGTAAGTTAATAGTAATATTAGAAAATAGTTTTAGGGGCCACAAGCGAGTTTGACATGCCTGTATTAGAAAAACCTTTGAAGCCTTGTGTGTGTGTGTGTCTGTATGCGACTGTGTCAGTGTGTGTGTATCTGTACCAGTCTGTGCGCAGGCCATCAGGTCCCTCTTGCCCTTGATGATGGGGATGGCGTACTTCTGCACCGGTGTGGGGCGAGTGTAGCGGCTCAGGGCGATGTTCCCCATGACGATCTCCCCCATGTCCACGTCCTGAAACTGTACCACAGACACACATCAGAGACACACACCAGAAACACCACACCTACAGACTGCAGACCCAACCACGTCCTCATGGAAGCATACAAACAAACGTCTTACGCTTTCGATGTGGTGGGGGCAGTTCTGTCCGGTTGCTTCTACAGGAATGTCGTCGTACTTCTCAAAGTTAATGCCGTTGTTGCAGCCAGAGAACAGCTCACTAGAGAAGAGAGGAGACGACATGAAGACCAGCCAATGTGAAGGGATTAAACAAAGAGACGCTGAAATGGGCATTTTAGATAGATAGAATAGATAAATAGAGTACATATAGATAGAATTAGGGCTGGGCGATAAAACGACAACGATGTATATCGTGATAGACACGTGATTGATATCGATAGAAAACGGGGTCGACTGAATGTTCGATAGTTTAACTTCACTCCGTTCGAAAAAACAGGACGAAAAGACAAAAGGCAAAGCCGAGTCTGAAGTGCGCAGCATTCTGGGGGACGTAGGCAGAGGCTTCTTGACCTATCACGGCTGAGCATGAACTGCAAAACATTCTGGGAAATGCAAAAAAAAAAAAAAACAACCGGCCCATGCGTAGCGTCCATGAATCTATAGATTGCATTGCGTTTCAATGCCGTGTCAATGGTTGTGCATGTCCGTGCGAGGAATAGCATGTGCGGCGCGGCAGAGGCACTGGGTACTGCGACTCGATGCATGTTGCAAAAGCAAGAGATGAACTTCTTCCTCTGGAAGCATGTGCGGCTATCAGAGAACCGCACAGAGCCGTCACAGGGACACAAGATACTCGTAAACAGCCAAAACAGGAGCTAAACCAGGACTAAGCCAGGACTGATAATGGCGGACATATGCCTCCAGCCTGAGTTCTCATTCCCTGTGACTGTAGAAAAGTGCTGCTAAAGTGTGTTAGCAGACACAAAAAGTATTCATTTCGTTTTTTTTAAACAATAAATATTTATTGATATTGACCGATATGACACACTTATGTTGCGATAATGTTTTCAGCCATATCGCTCAGCCCTAGATAGAGTAGATAAGATATATACTTCACAGTCTAGCAGCAAAAATAAATCCATCGTACAAACATATATAAATACAACATTCTAAAAGTTATTAACAATAGTAATAAAGTGGGCATGTTTAACTCAGAGAGATCTGTTGGTAAGTTTTCTATCCAAAGGAACAAAGGAAGGATCAAGGAAATGTATCTATTTTCAGATATTTTGGCTTGAATGTCCCACAAAACTGCATAACATTCTAATTCTGGCAAGAATAAGAGCTACTCCACCATGTTTGACAATGAAAAAACAAAATGAGTGACATGCAATGGACCTTCCACCAGAATACACACCTAAAGATGGGAGACCTAACCACAAGAAAATTTAACAAACAACAGTTTGCGTCTATCACTAGTTTACTGGCCTCTATCACATCCTTGGATCAGCTTTTTCAGAGAGAAATGTGAAAAAGAGAGAACACAGTGTTCTTTCTTACACATAAGAGAGAGCACTTTCTAATTAGATGAAAACAGCATGTGTTCTGAGTTGTTTGCAACCTTTTACTTTGACAAGACTCTCTTTGTTGGGACAAGCATGTTGTATTGTGGCCTGTGTATACTCGCGCGGTGCTGGTTACATTGGCGGTTGCGCTGGACCTACGCAGCCACAGTTGCTTATAAATTCGGGCATACCCACTGCGTAGTTTTGAAGAGAATGTTGTTATCCCATTACCAACCACGTGATGGCGATCTCACAGGAGTTGCCTGAGAAGCGGCCCCATTTATGCTAGCTACTTTCTCCTCTTCAGAACAAAAACAGAAGCAAACCAAGCTAGCTCATAAAATGTGTGTCTAGGTTTATGTGATAGTTCTATGGAATCATTGTTTCATAACTCATTTAACTGTGATGCTGTGAATAAAGACACAGTTCTTGTTGGAAACATTGTTATTATTAAAGTGTATTCGTGCATAAACAGCAAAAAAATAAGTGGTAAATATCTGAGACCAAACATGAACTATTTACAAGTGCAGGAGGAATGAAACAGAAGCGACAAATATAAGTGCAGATTCAAAAAAAGACAGACAACAAACAACTGTTCAGTATATAAAGTCCGATATATGTTGGATATGCAAAAGAACTCCAGTCCAGTCTCCGCCAGGAGCCATGAGCCCAAACTACTTTTCCTTCGAAGCACGAAGCAGTCTGCTCCGAAGTGCCTCGTCCATGTTCCCCGCATCCCCTCTATGCTTCCATCCAAAACACACACACGGGCCAATCAAAGTGGACCTTCTCTGCGGCGCCGGCTGTGTAGTTAGAACAATTTCGAGGGAGCAGGGGTGGCTACCCAAGGGTCTTGCGGTGATCCTTGAGTTGGTCAAGTGATGTCACGTCACCACCGTAAGCTCTGCGCCGCGCGACTTTACACTAGGCTTTAGGGACCCCAGCTTTAGGCCAATTGCAGAGCCGTTCAGTAAACGGTAATATGTCTTATGCCAACCCCCAAATGCAGAATTATTTTCATTGCCTGTGAAAGTAACAGGAAGACACAAACTAGGAATTTGCTTTGGAATATGGTGCAAACAAGTTCTAAAAAGAAAAAGTTATTTTCTATTATATATCTATTTGTGTCATAGACATTTAGTGCATGAGTGCAGATTATTGATGATATACAGTGACTTGCGAAAGTATTCAGCCCCCTTGAACCTTTCAAAATTTTGCCACATTTCAGGCTTCAAACAAAGATATAAAATTTTAAATTTTTTGTCATGAATCAACAACAAGTGGGACACAATCGTGAAGTGGAACGACATTTATTGGATAATTTAAACTTTTTCAACAAATAAAAAACTAAAAAGTGGGGCTTTCAGTGCAGCAAACTCACTCCAGAAGTTCAGTGAGGATCTTTGAATGATCCAATGTTGTCCTAAATGACTGATGATGATAAATAGAATGCACCTGTGTGTAATCAAGTCTCCGTATAAATGCACCTGCTCTTTGATAGTCTCAGGGTTCTGTTTAAAGCGCAGAGAGAACCATGAAGACAAAGGAACACACCAGGCAGGTCCGAGATACTGTTGTGGAGAAATTTAAAGCCGGATTTGGATACAAAAAGATTTCCCAAGCTTTAAACATCTCAAGGAGCACTGTGCAAGCAATTATATTGAAATGGAAGGAGTATCAGGCTATATCCACACAAAGACAAAACGCTTATAATTTCAAAAACTTTTTCTGTAAACACGGAGTTAGCTCAGTAAATGTGTGCGTCCATATGAATGTAGTCAATACGCCTGAAAACGCTGTGAAACTATGCCAGACCTGTTGGTGGCGCTGTGACGCAATGACGGGATCAAGCCCAAACTTCCGTGGGCATGCGCGGAATTTTGTAAACAGACAACATGGCGAGTGGGCGAGCTGGTACTACATTAGTATGGACGGACGATGAGGTTGAACTGTTGCTTCGGGTCACACTGGATTACAAAACCAACAAGCTACATTGTTGTTGTCATTATTTTCTGAGTGCGGCGCATGCGTGCTTTAACAAGGCGGGGCGATGACGCAAGCGTCTCAGATACATTGCGGAGAGGCAGTAACCACGGAGCGGCATATACGGAGTTTTGAAATCTTTCCACTCTGGGACCTAGTTTCAAAAATGTTCGTTTACACCCCCCCAAAACGCCGGCCTCGTATGGACGATACACTGGATTGATAAAGTATTTTTGCGTTTAGGCCTGAGCTTGACTTCGTGTGGACAGGGCCTCAGACCACTGCAAATCTACCAAGACCCGGCCGTCCCTCCAAACTTTCATCTCAAACAAGGAGAAGACTGATCAGAGATGCAGCCAAGAGGCCCATGATCGCTCTGGATGAACTGCAAACGGCAAACTTTAAACGAGACTTTTTATGGATATCTTTGAGAAATGGCTTTCTTCTTGCCACTCTTGATTTGTGCAGTGCACGACTGATTCTTGTCCTATGGACAGACTCTCCCACCTCAGCTGTAGTTATCTGCAGTTCATCCAGAGCGATCATGGGCCTCTTGTCTGCATCTCTGATCAGTCTTCTCCTTGTTTGAGATGAAAGTTTGGAGGGACGGCCGGGTCTTGGTAGATTTGCAGTGGTCTGATACTCCTTCCATTTCAATATAATTGCTTGCACAGTGCTCCTTGAGATGTTTAAAGCTTGGGAAATCTTTTTGTATCCAAATCCGGCTTTAAACTTCTCCACAACAGTATCTCGGACCTGCCTGGTGTGTTCCTTTGTTTTCATGGTTCTCTCTGCGCTTTAAACAGAACCCTGAGACTATCAAAGAGCAGGTGCATTTATACGGAGACTTGATTACACACAGGAGCATTCTATTTATCATCATCAGTCATTTAGGACAACATTGGATCATTCAAAGATCCTCACTGAACTTCTGGAGTGAGTTTGCTGCACTGAAAGTAAAGGGGCCGAATAATAAATAAAATAAATAATAAAACTATTGTCCCATCTCAAATCTGCCATTTATGGGGAAAGTCCTTGAGAAAGTTGTCTACCTAGAGCTTACTAGATTTCTTATAATCAACAACTCATTTGATATGTTTCAGTCTGGCTTTAGACCCCACCACAGCACTGAGACTGCTCTCGTTAAGGTTACAAACGATATCCGGCTGAACACTGACGCAGGCAAAGTCAGGCAAAATCTTAATCTTGTTAGATCTAAGTGCTGCCTTTGACACCGTCGACCATGAGATCCTCTTACAGAGACTAGAGGACTGGGTTGGCGTCACTGGCACCGCCCTAAGTTGGTTTGGGTCTTACCTTGAAGACAGGAAGTACTTTGTGGAGATTGGAAACTGTGTCTCAGATCATATGGCCCTGACCTGTGGAGTCACACAGGGGTCGATCCTGGGACCTCTTCTGTTCAATCTCTACATGCTGCCGTTAGGTCAGTTAATACGCAGAAACGAAGTTTCCTATCATAACTATGCAGACGACACTCAGATCTATGTCTCACTGACTGCAGGAGAACATGGAACAGTGGACTCACTCCTTCACTGTATCCAACAGATCAGTGAGTGGATGCAAAACAACTTCCTTCAGCTAAACGCAGACAAAACTGAAATGTTTGTCTTTGGTCCCCAGAAACAAAGAGAGAGCGTCATCTGTCACCTACAGTCTCTCTCCCTAAAACCTTCAAACAAGGTCAGAAATCTAGGGGTAATACTGGACTCAGACTTAAATTTTAATAGCCACATCAAATCAGTAACATCAGCAGCTTTTTACCATCTAAAAAACATTGCCAAGATCAAAAACATAGTGTCTAAAGCAGACCTGGAGATTCTTATCCATGCATTTGTCTCCAGTAGGTTAGACTACTGCAATGGCCTGCTCACAGGTCTGTCCAAACAGGCTGTAAAACAGCTGCAGTACATTCAAAATGCAGCAGCTCGAGTCCTGACTAGAACCAGGAAGTACGACCATATTAGTCCAGTTCTCAAGTCTCTGCACTGGCTTCCTGTGGCTCAGAGAATAGACTTTAAAACAGCTCTGCTTGTGTACAAGTCTCTCCATAGCCTCGCACCAAAATATATTAGTGACATGTTAGTCCCATATGAACCAGCCCGGACTCTGAGGAGCACAGGGACTGGACTCCTGTTAGTGCCCAGAGTCAGAACTAAACATGGGGAGGCTGCTTTTCAGATTCATGCTGCTAAAATCTGGAACAGTCTTCCTGAAGATGTGAGACAGGCCTCCTCTCTGACAATGTTTAAAACCAGGTTAAAGACAGTTCTGTTTAACTGTGCATACAACTGAGGGATTTTATATTTTTATCTTTCTTTTTAATGTTCTGTGATAATTTATGATTTTAATGCTTTCTTGTTTTGTTCAGCATTTTGAATTGCCTTGTGTATGAATTGTGCTATATAAATAAACTTGCCTTGCCTTGCCTTGAAATGTTGAAAGGTTCAAGGGGGCCAAATACTTTCGCAAGGCACTGTACTGTATTCAATACAGTATATCATCAATAATTTGCAGATGCACAGACTGGTGCTGATGTACACAAGTTTGCAAACCCTGAGTTGGTTGATTTATTCTGTAGTTTAAGCTTTCATGGTATAAAAAAAACTCACTGCTCGACCCTCTCGTTCTGCGGTGTCGGTTTGGACCAGTCTCCATCTTCGCGAGACTCGTCCACCCAGCGACTGTTTCCCGGAGCGTTGAAGCTTCCGTGCTCAAACCTGGTCACAACATCACACATGTTACGATTACATTTTAATATAGTTTATATGGAACAACATCATTTGGATTCTAAAATAGCCATGTTTATTTGTTTCTGGTTCTCAATGTCCTGGATATTCACAATTATCTATAAAACAATCTGGTCTGGTCTGGTCTCTCCCTCTCTCTGGTCTCTCCCTCTCTCTGGTCTCTCCCTCTCCCTGGTCTCTCACTCTCCCTGGTCTCTCACTCTCCCTGGTCTCTCACTCTCCCTGGTCTCTCACTCTCCCTGGTCTCTCACTCTCCCTGGTCTCTCACTCTCCCTGGTCTCTCACTCTCCCTGGTCTCTCACTCTCCCTGGTCTCTCACTCTCCCTCTCTCTCTCTCTATCTTCTCTCTCTCTCTCTCTCTCTATCTTCTCTCTCTCTCTGCTCTCTCTCTCTCTGCTCTCTTTCTCCCTCAGGTCAGTTGTGACAATATTGAAAACACATCAACACAGAACCATAGACGCGCAGGCCATAGACGCACAGGCCATAGACGCGCGGACAGAACCATAGACACACGGACAGAACAATACACCTGAGGACAGAACCATAGACGTGCGCGGACAGGACCACAGACCGGCGGACAGGACCATAGACGCACGAACAGAACATAGACTGTATTTATTAACGGACAGAGTCACGCCTATCTCCGCCGTTCTAACTAATGGGCCAAAAATAGTGCTCTACTGGAGCTATCCAAAATTGTGAAAAAACGCATCTGCGCATGCGTCAGCCGGCACAAGACCCATTCATTTGAACGAGAGACTTCAAAAATTCACAAAGAGTAAACTAGAGTGGTCCAAAAAAATTCACCCCCCTCAGCATTGACACACATGTGGAACAGAGCTTTGGGCCAAGAGCCAACTTTTGGACCATCCTGTAAAGACGTTTTTCAATGCCAATGCTATATGTTAGCATTGGCTAATTCTTCTTCTGGGTCCACCCCCATCGGCCCGGGGTGGTATTGCAAGCATGTCAGCGCACGTCATTTTGGCCACTTTTGAGCCGGGACCCACCCCCACTGGAACAGCACCATAGACGCGCGGACAGAACCATGGACGCGCAGACAGAACCATGGACGCGCAGACAGAACCATGGACGCGCAGACAGAACCATGGACGCGCAGACAGAACCATGGACGCGCAGACAGAACCATGGACGCGCAGACAGAACCATGGACGCGCAGACAGAACCATGGACGCGCAGACAGAACCATGGACTCATGCTCAGGACCATCTCTTGTGTCTCTCCCGTGTCTCCTCCCGAAACACAACCAAAACTACTGAATTTGAAGCTCGGATACCCAAATTTTCTCAATGCATTAACAATGCATGTTAATTGTGCACAAAAGTAAACTGTGTGAACAAATCAAACTGAACACGCAACCGTTTTTATTATTATTTTGCAGACTAAAGAGCCCTGTGAGTCATTGTTTGACTTTTTGGACTGAGAGTGGATTTTATGTTTTTGGCTTGGCTCAAAAAAAGGTTGAAAAACACTGGTATAAAGCTGAACTAGGGAAATTATGTTTAAGTGAAATTTTATAAGTACATATTATATGTACTTATAACATATTATATGTACTATATGTGCAGTGTCCGTACCTTCCCCGGTTGGCGTTTCCTCTGTCGTTGAAGAAAGCAGATTTGCCGCGGTTGTTTCCAAAATTACTGTACGCTTCTTTTGTTGCATTCCAGCCACTTGTGTCTGGAGGAAAAAGACAGTTATGTTCAGTAGTTAGTTTCAGTACACTAGTTACACGAGTGTGTAATCCTTGTAAGAACTGGGACCTCTTCTCTCCTTACCTTTGTTCTCGAACGCAACAAAGCCCATTGGCTGCGTGGCGGTCATGGGGTTGAAGGCTCCGCCCCTGTTGCCCCGGAAGCCGCCTCCCCCCCGGTTGCGCTCCATTCGAGGCGGGCCTCGCGTGAATGTGTTGCCGCCCGCCATCCGGTTGTCGTGGAAACCGTTGACAAAGTTGCTGCGAGCCGCATCCCACCCGTCTACAGGACAGAGCAGAACTATCCCAGAATTAACTTAAGTCACGTATGAGAAATGACGCGGTAACACCATGGCAACAGTGCAGGGCCTTGGATCTGGTTCCATGAAAGCTGGGGTACCTGACTTTTAGTTTCATCAATACTACTGTTTGTCCCAACAGACAAAGTAAGATTACAAGTCAACAAGTTGCCTTCATCGTATTAGAAAATACGAAACATGATGCTCAAATGAATAGATATTGATCGTATTGAGTTTTATAGCATTGTACCATTTGTTAGTAATTTGAAAGTCAGGTATTTCAGCTTTAATCGCTTTAAAGTGCTTTTAAGCACCACTCAGTCAAGATTCATGGTAGAATATATTAAAGTAATGTAGTTGCTTTCCCATCTTACTTTTATTATTTGAAGGGGGAAAATGACTGGTGTTTGTTAACTTGACCTGAAACGCAGATTTTCTAGTTTTCAGACGCAGGGGTTTTCACAACCAAGGTCCTGGCGCGCGCCGGAAGTGCCGGAAGTAGCCAGCGGGCTCTGATGCTAACAGAGTTTAGCTAGCGGCTTCTTGTGTACAGATCTTCTCCAATAATGCAGCTTTGCAGCATGTTTGTGTTCAGAGACCTTCAATGGACTTTATATAACAATAGTATGTGTTCACGGAGGTGCGCAAAAAGTTTATCTTATTATTATAAACGGTACTTCCGCATCGGTGAACACACTTGAAGCAGTTGCATAAAGTCACGGGAGCATGAAAACTCACATGTTAACAAGCACAATGTCCCCCATTGTCAACCCTGGTTTAGTCCTGATGTAGCTCCTGTTTTGGCTGTTTACGAGTATTTTCAGTCTGCTCGCTCAGTCCGCAAAAGTCCCCGTGACCACTTTGCGGCTCTCTGATTGGTTGCTGCACGAACGTCCCGAGGAAAGGTTGAGCAAAATCCATCTCCTGCGTTCCTCCCCTTCGACTTCCCAGCGCGGTCCGTGCGTGCATTCCGAGACGTTTGTGCGTTTTGACACTTGAACGCGCGTCACCATTGACTTTGCATTGAAAGCCGACGCAACGCATGATCCAGTCTGAAAGCACCATAATATTGCATCATGGGGAAGAAAGGAGAGCAATGCGGCAGGACTGAACACAGAAGTGTTAGTGTGACGTCAGGGAAGGGTCTTTATTTGAACAATATTGGGATTTAAAATACCCTACTCTACCAAGCAGGTACGAAAAAAGTACCTAATTCTAGTTAAGCAGGGTTGATTGTAATGCTCACTTTCCAGGTACAGTAGAGTAGAGTGGTGTAGAGTAGAGTAGGGCCAAGTAAAAACTTCTCTATAGAAAATAACTATATAACAGAAGGTTGCTATGTCTTATTTCCTGTTTAATTATTGTGTAACAAGGCTAATATAAGTAATATCACCATCTTCTTACCATGCCGATACGATACAGTGGTTAACATGAGCAGTTTGGTAAAACAGTAAGTTTAATTAAAGTTCTTACAGTTGGCGGCTGGTGCCATGGGGTACGCTCCCTGACGTGGGACAAAAGCGTTTCCAGCTGCAGAGAAAACACACACACACACACACATATTTAGAACATATAACAGTTTTAACAGTATAAATGTGGCTACTCACCATTTTTTGTAGGATCTTTGTTCCGCAAATGTGGAGGAACGTATCGTCCTGAGGAAAAAAAAGAAAGAAATAGCGTCTCAGTTTAAAAGTAATTACTGTGGTTTTGTTTATTCCTTTTATGGATTGGAAAAAAAAAAGATTAACGCATTGGTCGGGGTGGGCAATATGGGCAAAAATAAATATCTCAATATTTATTTCCCAACTCCCGATAACGATATTGTCACAATATCTTTAAAATTAATGATTTTTACACAAAATGTTCTAAAATGTTAATCAAATAGCAAAATAGCAAACATGCACAAACATATATTAACATTAAAAATCCAATTCAAGTAACATGGGAAGAACACATTGAAAGAGGCTTACTCATTATTTACTGAAATTTACAAATATGCCTACTATAATTGTAATATGTATTGATAAAAAATAAAAAATAAGACGATTATACAAAAAAGCATATCTTCAAATTCACTTTTGCAATATTAACGGCTTATTAACCGAGCAAGCGAGATTAATAAATGTTTTGTTATATGACTCTCGTCTGTGTCTTTACCAATGAATTTGAGATATTTGTGAAGTATGTTCATGTCCGACTTGGTTTTGTGTGATACGGGCTGTGGACCGATTGTCATGGTAACGGTCCGTGGAAAGATATCAAATGTGATACGCGCTGTTCGGACCAATTGTCATAGTAACGGTCCGAGATGGGAAAATATCAGACCGCAAATCAACCAATCAGAGCGCGCGTACGGTCCAAGTCATATAATAATATTGTCTACGATATATTTTGCCCACCCCTACGCATTGGAAGACGGTTTAGACTCTTTTCTCACCAAACCACAGTTGCTATTGTTAGAAAAAAACGGATAATCTATTTTCCGGCCATTTCCTTTATAATTGTTCCCCTGTTTGAACTCTTGCGAGATATGCTTACATTATACATTAAAGGAATATATCCATTTAGTTCTGAAAAACTTCCTGTAATTACTTAAACAGTGGCTTTATTGGTGTAAAAACATGACTTGACTATGAAATGACTATGTATCTAAATTATGTAAAGACATAAAGACCGGTAATACGCACTTTAACATTTCAAGACAAATATGTAACACCATCTAAGATGGTGTTACATGGACTGCTTTGGTCCATCTTGTTACTTACGGCCTTGTGCGTCTGTTGCGTTCAAGTCTAACACAGCAAGCTGCAAAAACAAACATATGTCAAAAAACCCTTCATAATTACATACACACAAACTCAACAACAAAATGTAAACTTAGTCAAGTTTGACTATAATAATTTATAAACTTAGAACACTTGATACTTTAGTCCTGGTCTCAGGTCTCTGCTTCCTGTGGCTCAGAGAATAGACTATGGTTACAAGTCTCTCCGAGTTCTCGCAACAAAGTACATCTGTGACATGTTACTGCCATATGAACCAAATCTATCTTTGAGGAGCACAGGGACTGGCCTCCTACTGGGACTCCCTGAGGCGCACAGTGACTGGCCTCATGCTGATGTCCAGAGTCAGGACCAACTAGCAGAAAATCTGGAAAAGTCTTCCTGAAAATATGAGACAGGTTTCTATTCTGACAGTGTTAAAATCCAGGTTAAAAACAGCAGTGCATACTACTGAAGGACTGTTTTTCTACTCTTTTTTATGTAGTGTGATTATTGATGGTTGATTATTTCCATTTGATTTTGATAAGCACTTTGACTATTGGACTAGTAAGGCCAATTACATTATTAAAAAAACGGACCACATTTTCGTACATTTTATGATGTGATGAATTTGAATGATCTAGGTAAAATAGTACAGATTATTTTATAATCAATTATTTTGCTAAACTATTAAGAACATGAAAGAGTGAAAATTCACAACACTTATAGCGCACGTCGCAATCAAATAGACTGTAGCACAATGGTGGCAGCTATGCTGGTTCCTATCCACAACCTCCTCAAACTACAAACAACAATATTAAATTGCTGAGTACACAGGCAGAATTAATTGTTGTGACGTTTGTTTGGTGAAGTTTAGTGGGGGACACGCTGTTATTGAGAGTAACTAGATGGCGTTGTCTACGTTACATATGACGCAGACGAAATGTGCATTATTTTTACACGTTGCAACAGTCAAAAGTATTGCATTGACCGCGGATTAAACTCGCCACAAAGTGGAGTTATAATAGCTTTATGACGGATCACGACTAGGCAACAAATATGTCTGAATTTCCTCCATTTTAACGCGGTGCCAAGCTTACAGCGACCAACGCAGTGAGAATATTAGTGGAGGGTGCGTTAATTTTGTACATCTTGACAAGGGATCGTTTCGTTTCACATAAACACAGGCAAAATATCAAGTGACACAGTCCTAATAAACACACAAAGGCTATTGAAAACGTTACGCTAAAATATAAAGGAAAAGGTGGTTTTTATAGTTGTTATAATTGAGTAACAAACAGAGTCAACGCCAAATGTGTTCCATCTTTTCGCTTCTGTGGTTTAGAAATCAAACGCACCCAGCATCAGTTAGCACCGTTAGCTTTTCGATGCTAACCCGGCACGCTCTCATTTTATCGAGTTTATAAAATTACTTCGCTTTATTTTGCGGTGGGGAGATGATGTAAAATAGCTTACCTGCTGTTCTAGACCGTGTGCATTATCGACGGCCACATGACTCATAACTATGGAGTATGGAGGAAAAATGTTGGCGTTGAAATGGGACCTCTTTGTTAGCCGGGTTTGATGCGAGTTATTGTTTTTTTCCCCGAGCAGTGTCACTGTCCTAGAGCTTCAGCATCTGTGAAACTTTGCGCTTGGTGAAGGCAAAGTAAAAAGCAGAGATAAACGCGGTGAAACTCGGGAGTGTTTACGGTCTAAAAGCTTCATCAAACTCAGCTGATTTCGTCTTTGCTTTTTTCTTTGCTCCCTAGATGAAGCTGCGCTGCTGCAGGAAAGTGACAGAGAATACGGCAGACAAGTATCCGGGCTGAAAAACAAAATAAGAGCTCGAGCAACTAAACTGCTGCAGACCAAATAATATCATCAAAATGAATACAACTATTGAGCATGTTTGAGGATAGTGACCTCTATAGTCATAGTATATTACATAATATGTACAAAATGGCATGTTGGTGTTTATTTATTACGTTGAATCAAAAATCCAGGTGAAGAGAGCCCACAATGGGAATGTTATGCATCACAAGTTACAGGAATGAAGCCTTAATTCAATTCAACTTATTTATGTATAGCCTTAAATAGGAACAGCAGTGGTCACGGAGGACTGCATAAAGTTGTCATTTTGCCAATAACAGATCAGATAATCAAACAGTTCAAACATACAAAATGCAATAATAAAAAAAATATAGGGACCCATTCGTCCATAGAGAGTGGGAAGACCACTGGGGTAGAAATCACCGCTCAATCATCATATAATTTGTACTATGGAGTGGTACGGCCAGGCTACTGTTGGACAGCTGTTGATCCAGAAGCCAGGCTGTATAACGAGCTCTGAGGCTGTTTAGATCCAGGACTGAAAGGGCTCACAAGCAGGGAGAGTGGCCGTGGCCGTGTTCTTAATATATACAGTCTATGGTTCTAACACTATAGCGTTAGAAAAGGATTGGGTCAGGTTTGTGGAGAAGCAAGCTCACTCACAATGCGTTTTTTTCTGTGTATGATACATTTGTAACAGTCTTCAAATCACCATAATAAGTGGAGCATATATTCAGATTTGTTTGTATGTACCATATTTAATACAAGGTCCTCTTATTTTGACAGCCATTGTTTATACTGCTCTACTTTTTCCTCCCGAACCTCGCGTTCTTGACAGCTCCACTTTGTTATTAAATCAAGGCATCGCGAGATTAGTGTCACTTTTTATCGCGACATTTTTCTGTGCAGATGAAAAAAATAGGATAACGATGCAGGCTGACTCACTCCGACATCAAAACAGTCCTCCACCACTCCACAGCGGGACCGTGTGATGCACCATGGCTGAAGACAAGCACACAAAGACTTTCATTGTTACATGAACATTTCTGATCATTTATTAAGTAACTACAAGCTCTGTTGTTATGTGAAGAGATAAGAGACAATAAATCATTTAATTGTTATAACTGTACACCCAGACTTCCCTTTCCACACACACTATTACACTATTTTAAGTGTAATATTGGCATTCATACTTTTTTTTTGCCAAGTATACTTTATTATTTTACATTTGTGTGGTTTGATAGATATTAACATTCTCTAGCTTTTTATACGGCTAGTCAAACAACACATTTTAATGTTTGATAAAAGGGTGGAATGTGTTGCATCTGTCAGGGCTTTAATGAAACGTGTAATCCAGTGAAAATGACAGGATTGGACGAGTTTCCTTTGACAATAAACCTGCTAATATCAACAAAAAGAGCACTGTGGGGAAATGTACAAGTCGAGGCATGTCTTTGATAAAGTGCAGGTCGAATAACTTTCAGACAAGGATATACATGTCATGGTTGCCATTATTAGTTCCCGTTTTATTTTATTGTCCTGTCCTGTAGTTATTTATTATCTGTTACCCTGTCTCTTTTAGTTGTACTTGCTGTTCAGTTGATTGCCTGCCAAGCTCTTTTGTGTTTCACCAGTGTATCCATGTGCGTATTTAGACCTTGCTCCTCTCCTCTTGTATAGTATACTTGTCCCTCTTTCTTTTTGGTTTGATTTTGAAGTTCTGTTATATGCTGGATTTTGTCTTACTTAAATTTTTGAGTTCTCACTTTTGTTCTGCACTCGTGACAACACATCCACAACTGCATCACAACTCAAGGCTCATGCGGACAATGGAATCCATAATCGAAAGAGAGTGTTCAAAGGACTATCCCAAACAAGGAAAATATAGACCTGCACTCCCATCTTCAGGCATTAACATTCCATTACAAAACACAGTGTAACATCAAAATGGTCTGAGCTGTGTCCAGCCAGCCTCATCTCTACACATGTTTATGTAGCTGATGTTATCCATGTTTTATCTTGGGACAGTGCATGTTAACGAACACACATCACTAGATGCTACAGTGGAGCAGCATCTAGTGTGGAAACATTTTACAGTGCGGCTGTAAATTATCTTTAGGCAAGACCACATTAGAATGAGTCTGGTGTGTGTATATGAATGGCACATAATTGTCGCCTTGCTTCAGTTTGTGTGCCCCAGGGCAGCTGTGGCTAAAGTATCAGTGCCTAGAATTAATCTGATGAGAGATAGAATTACTGGTGGTGGTCAGAGGAGCCGATTATTGGAGCAAGGATCTTAACAGGCACCAAAAGGAGGGAACACATAACTCCCGTGTTATAATCACTCCACTGTCTTCCCGCGGAGTACAGAATAAAGATTAACATTCTTCTTTGGCATACAAAGGAATAAATGGCTTGGCTCCTCTGACAGGTTGGTCAATCAAGTCGAACACTGCGTTTGCAAAACGCCAGGTGGTTCCTAAGGTCTCAAAAAGCACTGTCGGTGGCAGAGCATTTAGCTAATAAGTTCCTTTACTGTGGAATCAGCTTCCCATCCACGTTAAGGAAGCAGACACAATATCTACATTCAAGGCCAGGCTTGTATGGGACCCGGTCTGCTGCATCTTCAACCCTACGTTCTGGGATCTATAGCCCGTCCGTCCGGAGTGGATCCCTCGCTCAATATGTGGCTCTCCCCGAGGTTTCTCACTTTTTTCCCTCTGAGTTTTTGTGAGTTTTTCCTTTCCGATGCAGGAGGTTGTTAGACAGTTTGTGTCTAACAAAAACGACTGTAGTGATGATCCAGGACACTTTAACATTCCACAACATGTATGGACATTTATCAACATGTGTTCTATCATCTTTTTTGTGTCTAACTGTTGATTCTCTGATCTGTGTTGGTGATTTCAATGGTTTTGTTAAGTCCTCTGAGATGACTACTATTATTGAGTAAAGGCCATGTGTATGTGTCTGTACTAACACACCTGGATGAGTCTTCTGCTACTGGACACCTGAATTTATTTTACGGGGATCAATAAAGTATCTATCTATCTATCTATGTCTGCAAAAAAGTGCTACAAAATTATTATTATTCAGGGAGCAGAAACTTTGGACTCCCTGAACCTGATCCATCCACACAGACTGATATCCATACTTTTTTTTTGTGTTTGTGCAATATAGTTAACTGTTTTAATTACACAAGAAAAAGGGATTGAGATAGACAGATACATGATGTGCATCCTGGGGCCAAACCCAGGGCTCGATCTTCAAAGGACATGAGGACTTTCGTTGAACTGGACCAGAACTGGATCACATTGGACTTTGCCAAAGTGTATTCATTTCATCACAGATAATTATTTAATCAGGATCGTTTTTCAGAGGCCGAGGATCCTGGTGATTATGTAAAGCATATTGAGCAAACATCTTCAGTACTTTTCCATCTCCTCTCAGTAACTTTCCATCACAGCCTTGACTGTGAGAGACTCCTGCACGAGCCAATCATGAGTGCCTGCGGGAGGTAAATATTCAAGGCGTTGTTGTTTGAGGAATAAAATGACATTTCGTTGGCATCTCACCAAGAAGAGTAAGCCACTACTTTTGTACAGATCAAGCAAAGAAGTCTGACTGACATTCAATTTACATAAGGACTGCTTTTGTATCAGCTTTAACGGAAGGATTTTATCATGACATTAATTTCACTACATATCCATCAGATATTGGCTTTTCATGTTTTGCCAAATCAATAACATGAGTTATTGGGGCTGGTGCTATGTGTACTCCGACCCAGAAATGGATTAAGGGGTAGAAAATGGATGGATGGAATAACATGAGTTTTAGAGAAGAGATACATTTTGTATTACAATTGTGTTGACTGTATGACACAGTACTATCTGTCTTCCGTCCATATGCCAAGGCTAAGTGCAATAAAGACTGAACTTTTGGCTTAGGGTAAGGCAAGGCAAGGCAAGTTTATTTGTATCGCACAATTTATACACGAGGCAACTCAAAGTGCTGAACAGAATAAGATAGAAACCATCACAGAAGACCTTACAATTACAAAATAATCACAGTACATTAGAAATAGTAGAGATACAATCCATCAGATGTATGCACCGCTAAACAGGACTGTTTTTAACCTGGATTTGTCATCTTCAGGAAGACTATTCCAGATTGTAGCTGCATGAATCTGAAATGCTCCCTCCTCATGTTTAGTCCAGACTCTGGGCACCAGCAGCAGCAGCAGACTCGTCACTGTGCTCCTCAGAGTTGGTGCACATGGGACTAACATGTCACAGATGTACTTTGGTGCGAGGCCATGGAGAGACTTCTAACAAGCAGAGCTGCTTTGAAGCCAGTGCAGCGACTTGAAGACTGGACTAATGTGATCATGGTCAGGACTCGAGCTGCAAAGTTTTTAATATACTGGAGACAAATGCATGAATAAGAATCACCAAGTCTGCTTTAGACACTATGTTTGTGATCCTGACAATGTTTATTAGTTGTTAAAAAGTCCAGTATTACTCCCAGATTTCTGACCTTATTTGAAGGTTTTAGGTAGAGGGATTGGAGGTGACAGATGGCACTCTCTTTTTTTCTGGGGACCAAAGGCAATCTTTTTTTTTTTTTCATGTTTAGCTGAAGGACGTTGTGCTGTGTCCACTCACTGATCTGTTGGATGAAGGAGTGAGTCCACTGGTCCATGTTCTCCTGCAGGCAGTGAGACACACTGTAGATCTGAGTGTCGTCTCAGTATAGTTGTGGTAGGACACATTGTTACTGTGTGTTAACTGACCTAATAGCAGCATTAAGAGATTGAATAGAAGAGGTCCCAGGATTGACACAGTTTTCAATCCCAACAAAGTACTTCCTGTCTTCGAGGTAAGACTATTGGCGGCGCCAGAATAACTTTTTTGCAGGTGCAATGGGGGTGCTCAGCACGTTATTGATGGCGGTCTTAAATTAATGATTTAATGTCACACCAAGACACATGATGCTCAAACATCTATAGCCAATAGAAAAACAGAAGTTTGTATCCACCAGATTCTGCTGCAAAATAGCATTGCAGCTTCGAAATCAATAAGGTTCTCCAAAAACATTTAAATCAACACACTGCTGCTGCTGAAATAAATGAATAAATAATCAAGACAAAACAAAACAAAAAATTACGTTCTTACTTTTTGACGTATTCGCAACAACACAATCCTGTTGATACGGTTCAGGACAAAGGCATCTAGAAGGTTTTCTTGGTCCAGGCCTGTGTTTATTGCCAGTAGACCCAGGTTGCTGGTCCGAGAGTCTCTGCTGCTGTTTCTCAAATAGTTTTTTAAACAATAAAACCATGAGAAATAATCTTTTGGGGGGTGCTGCAACCATCTCAGGGGTAGCTGGACTCTGCAGCACATCACTCCAGCTCCTCTCAAACGCCGCTTATGGGTAAAACCAAAACCTATCTCAGGGCGGTGCCAGTGACACCAACCCAGTCCTCTAGTCTCTGTATTAGGATCTCAAGGTCGACATTATCAAAAACCACTCAGATAAAAAAAATTAAGATTGTGACTTTGCAATCTTTGAGCCCCCAAAGTGATCTGGGCTAAAATATGTTTATTTTGAAGTAAAACAGGCTCGGAACCCAAACATATATATTGGAGCTAATGAGTCACTAGAGCCCTTTTTACGTCTCATTTGTCTTTTTATGCTGTTTTTATCCGTGATATTGTGCTTTTGTGTTCCTAATTACGTTTGAGCTCTTGTAGTTGTAAATTTGTGATATGAATAAACTTTGACTTTTCAATGACAGATAGATAAAGGGAAATAGACCTTGACTTTGGGTTATAGTGGAATGTTTTGTGTGCAAGTTTTTTCAAAGTATTTTCAAAATAAACTGTAATCTTTTGGCTTCTTAGCATTCTTGTCTAATTCTCTTACCACTTATACAAATTCCAACAATACAATTCATGGATGTTAAATGTGTTCCTTTTATTGAAAAAACAGCTATACAAATAAACCAAAAAGAAACATCGGCCAATGCACTACGGGCAAAATTTTGATAACATCCTCATACAAACCAGAAGAAATAAACATTGTAGGCTTATCTAAATTATTGAAGTATAAAATATAAAATCTTTAGCAAAAATTACAACGTGAAATATACAAAAAGGAACACTCCGACTCCGCAGATTATTACTAAAGCTATGTTTAGCACAACTTTCATTCTAGGAGATTCATACAAAAGTTCGTCCACCACTTTCTTTAGCTCTTGTTCGCTAGGCACGTGCGTCGAAGTGGGATCCTCTTTGATTCCACAAAACCAGTTAACAGCAAGAAGACATTTTGAATTCTCAACAACTTTGTCCCTGCGCTCTTCCTGTTTTGGGCAGGTATCAATCGTTATGTGGCCATTTGAATTAGCATTACCGTTGCATTGCGAAGGATTGAGCGGTTTCAGCGCATTGCTATTGTTATTTCCGGACATTTCTTGTTGATTTAGCTTCTTTCTGTTCCGCAAACCCCAAAATGTCGACTTCCTGATTTGTTCTTTTGTTGGAGGTGGAGTGATCAGGCTTACAATTACAGTGACCAACGCAGAAATCCAAAACAAAACGGCTGCTACGTACATGAAGTGAACGTCTTTGATAAAACGTGGTCGATTGTCTGGTTGATCACAATGAGGTTCACGATAGATAAATGCTAACGTTAGCCTTATTGTCCCAAGTACAAAACCAATTAGCGCTCCCCAAAACGCTCCTGTTTCATTGCAACGATGCCACAAAACAGCTAGCAAAAACATAGCAGCTATTGGCGGGGTCAAGTAATCGCAAACTTCTTGAATATAGTAGAACATTTGTCCACCTTGCATTTCGATAATAACAGGAACCCACGCTATGCTAATTAGCACGACAAACACAACAGTTAACCTGCCTACAATCACCAGCTCGCGCGACGTGGTCTGTTTCCGTAGCATCTTGTAAATGTCCAGGGTGAAGATGGTGCTAGCGGAGTTGAAGATGGAGTCCAAGTCGCTCATGAGTGCCGCAATCATGACGGCTAGCATCAGGCCGCGTAGACCGGTGGGCATCACGGACATGACGAGGCGCGGGTAAGCTACGTTACTGCAGCCCGCCGGAGAGCCGCACACCTCTGCGCAGTGATCCGGGCTGATGCAGATGAGTTCGTCGGCAAATAAGATACGGGCAATCATACCTGAAGGACAACAAATAAAACGAATCAGTATTTATCGCTTATATTGTTTTATATTTTAGATTCGGGGTACATTCACTTTTGAGCAGAAAACTGTGTGGAATGATTGGAACAATATCTGAACTCTGAACATTGTAAAGCGCTTTGGGTGACCTTGGTCTGTAAAATGCGCTATATAAGTAAACATTACTTACTTACTTACTTTAAATGGAAATCGGAAAGTCAAGTTGAACAGTCTATGGTTCAATCGCAGGTATATCGTATGTGTGTGTGTATGTGTGTATGTGTGTATGTGTGCATGTGTGTATGTGTGCATGTGTGTATGTGTGTATGTATGAATGCATTCCAGTCCAGTCTTAACATGGAAACTTGACAAATGAACCTTGTATAAACATCTCTGGATCTCGTATTGAAATAGATGAACACTGAAGATAAAACAGAAAATGGTTAACAATAATGTATGACCACCAGTGTTGGGTAAGTTACTTTGAAAATGTAATTTGTTACAAATTACAAGTAACTTCTAAACAAAAGTAATTAGTTACATTACTTAGTTACTGCTGCAAGAAAGTAACTAAGTCACATTACTTTCTGTCACAAAAAATAACACTTTGTACGTTTGCATTATGAAAGTAATTTAAATAAACTATAAATTAGTTCTCCAGTTTGCAAATGGTTTTTTCTGTCACTTGCTTCTCAGATTTTCACATTTCAAATCAAGTGAAGCTGTAGTTTCAGTTTCCATTTTCACAGCTGCTGATAAATGCAGAAAATGTTGATGCATTCTTTCACGTCTTTGAGGCCAGAGGAGGATGTTGTTGAGGAAGTGAATATACTGCTGGGGGGGCTGGGGCTCACGTGTGTCAAGTTGTAAAGTTCCTCTGCCCACTACTGGCCAGCCACTAAAACTACAATGTTTTCACGCCTCATCTAAACGCTGCGTTGAGTCTGGTCATTTCTGTTTATTGCTTTGCAACGTCTACGCAGCGCCTCCATCTAAACGGGGCCTTAGTAGATATATCCCTGCAGTAATGCCTTACTTCACTCATTAGTTAGAAAAATACATTACATACATTTCATCATGTTACTGACCAACACTGATGACCACAGATAGTGATATTATGAATGTGTGTCTGAACCTGGGATGACGATGATGAACATGGGCAGGATCTTCAGACAGCCGGCCATGATGGTGGAGGCTTTGACATGAGTAATGTTTTTAGCAGCGAGGACTCGTTGGACAATCACCTGATCTGCACACCAATACCTAGAAGTACATATGACAGCTTGAAGTAAAAACAATTGTAGCAGTACTAGTATGATGATAGCAGAAGTAGTAGAATGATAGTACTAGCAGTAGCAGCAGTAGTATAATTTTTGTAGTAGTTGTAGCAGTAGTAGTAGTATAAGAGCAGTAGTAGTAATTGTAGCAGTAGAAGTATGATAGCAGTCATAATAGGACAAGTGGTATAATAACTGTAGTAGCAGCAGTAAGGATCTTGCACTTGTATTGAAAGTGTTGTTGTTGATAGATTTTACAGCAAAAATTGTTTTTGTACTTCTTAGCTTCTTTAATTTAAAATATTTGTCTGGTGCACACAGGGGTACTTATGTACAATGTGGTTTTATTGCAAATGGCAAATAATCTGAATCTGAGTAGTATGATTTTTCTGTAACCTGATTTAAGTTGGTAAACCTGTCATCTCTTGCAGAGGATTTCTTATCAAGAGTTAGTAAGTAAGTAAGAAATGTTTGTGACAAGGGTCACAAAGCGGTTTACAATTGTTATTATTTTTTTGGGCATTTGTCCTCTCACTCCAGACAGAGATGGGAGCGGGGTCGCTGAAAAGGAGGCGCATGCCAGATCTATTGTACATATTTTTAGTGGTAGGGGAAACCGGAGTACCCGGAGGAAACCTACGCAGTCACGGAGAGAACATCCAAACTCCACTCAGAAAGGCCCTGGTCAGACCGGGATTCGAACCCAGGACCTTCTTGCTGAGAGGCGAGAGTGCTATCCACTCAGCCACCATGCCGCCCATTTACCCTGGCAACACGACTAATCTGTCTGACTGTACTCACCACAGAGACGCCGGCGTTTGTCCCAATAAGAAGCCGGGCCAGGGCAGGTCTGGATCCCCTGGGCCTCTGAGGATGGTCAAAGCATTGGGTTTTGGATCCAAGTGACGCAAGCAGCTCTTGGGAAAGGTCAGGTTTGGATAGGACAGCATGATGGAGGTAACATTTGGACTGGCTTGCATGTATCTGGTCCGGACCCCTTTAAAGGCACAAAAGAAAGATTGGCATAGTTCATTATGCATTTATAGTTGTACAAAGGGGTTTGAAGTCCATATCACACATAACATTGATATCAGAGAATTGGACCAAACTCAAATGATAATAGCTTTAATTCGGGGCACCAGTGTATACATCACAACATGTATACAGCGCCATGTAATTAATTAATTGGTTCATTTATTGATCTAGCAATTATGCGAGTTCTTAATTGTTTAATCAGGGAAAAGTCCAATTCTCTCGATGGAATCTGAAGGTGTAAATTTGGAGTTGAATCATACTCCATTGAAGAAAATTTGACTTGGACTCACTGTTGCCCCAAATTAAAGATATTATCAATTATAGTATTTGCTACAAGATTGAATTTGGTCAAATTCTCTGATATCATTTTAAGTTATGAGTGATATCGACTCATTCATGTTAGAATCCATTTTGTATTTAGACTGTATTCATTTCCAAAGCTCTCATTAATTGCCATGGCCACCACTCAAATAACTATAGTCACAATTGATCCATCCATGTCCAAATCTAAATTATTCAAAAACATTCAATTTAAACTCCATGCAAATTTTGAATCCATATTTTCTATATAAACACACAACACTGTGTCTCTACTGGAGATTTTCTGAGCTTCAAAACTGTGGCATATGCAACACATTATAAATAAACAGATACATGTCTGTTATCCATAGCTGATGGCAATGGTTTATAATCCAGAGATGTTTGCCAATATTCTTCTGGCCAACATGTGGGGCCCATTTGAATAACTTTCCCTCAAATTGTGTTTTGTAATATGAGTTCACTGCTCATCCAAAGGCCTGAGTTTTTATCTCTGTTCAAGATGAGGATGTGGATGGGTATTTTGTTCAAAGCTGTAAACATATCCTTTCACCACTTGGCACAAACAAAATATTGGCCTTGACTTGGATTACAGACGAAGTGCCAAAAATAACAACCTATCAATGAGGACTAATTATTCCAAAAAGCCGTATATTTTGGCGGTGGTTCATGCCTTTTGAAGTGTGAGTTTGTTATTAGTAATATAATATTAGGTAGCTGCCATTTTCTGTTTTGTCTCACATTTTAATGTTTTACTTTTTTATTGTATTGTTGTAGCATCCCCAGTGTTTCCTCTGGAGGAGCCCTCTGCACTGGGAGGTGAGGTCTGCTGTGGCTGCGGGGGTCTGGCTCTTGGATCTAGTGGGGGCAGGGCCTTCTCTCTCCTCTGGGTCCTATAGGGTTCTGACTCCTGGACCTGGTGGAGGTCCTGGGCCTCCTCTCTCCTCTGGGTCCTGTGTCGTTCCCTGTGGCTGTAAGCGGCTCTCTGCTCCTGGTGCAGATGGCTCCTTGAATGGTGCTTCTTCAGCTCGATACATCTGCACCCAGAACTATATATTTTCATGGTTTACCTACTTTATCCATCTGATGTGACTGCATATATATATATATCTGTGTGTTTGTGTGTGTGTGCGCATGTGTCTATACTTAGTAATATAGTATACACACAATTTATATGTGGCTTTGGGTGGGTCTGTTGGGTGGTGGGGTTACCGGTCATGGGCATGTGGGATTGTTTTAACTAATCTGTGTAACACTTTGCAGTGTTGCATTTTCTGTATGAAGCTCTTTATAAATAAGATTTGATTGATTGATTAATTGAATGAAATTCTTTGATGATCACTTATGTGCAGAGCTTTACAGGAAGAACCAATAGGATATCAATGGACTTAGGTAGTTTGTGTGTGAGAAGAAACCATTTTTGTTGTACTTGTACAATACAACATTAGTCCCTCATCAAAAACATATCTCTTATTATTTTTCGCCCCATCAATACAAGAATTTTAGCACAAATTGACATGTTTCTGACTCTTAAAGTCTAAATGCTCCTATTTCAAACATGGTATACAATTACGTAAAAGACAGTGCTGTTCCATGCATTTTAAAACCAAAGTTTTCCCTTCCCTTGTTTTGGGAATTTCTACAGTCAGATCATGTTCTTTACAACTGTGTTCTTTCCATTTATATTTAAAAACAAAAATAGCAGAATGTAATTTCCCACTTCTACCACTAGATGGAGGTGTTTCACTACTCAAGAGCATGTTTTGGTCCATTATAGATGTTTGTTTTATTATAGGGTGATGATTTTTTTAACAAATAATGCATAATAGTTGTCAAAAACGTACCTTCAAGCCCTCCCACTTTGAAAAGACTGATTCCCATTAGCGTCAAAGCTCCTCCAATCATCAGAATAGCTTGAATTACATCTGTGTAGATCACCGCCACAAGTCCTCCAGTTATTGTCAAAATGGCCGTCATCGCGATTAGCAGGATAATGGAAAGGTAGAGGTTCCACCCTAATGACTCTTGAATGAACAAGGCCCCAGTGTAGAGATTGACTGATAATTTGGTAAAAATATACAGCACTAAACTAAGTGTAGCAAAGTACACTTTTAGCCTGCGCCCACCAAATCGCTTGGACAAATACTCTGGCATTGTGTAGACTCCGGATTGGATGTAAACTGGAATGAATAGCCAGCCTAGCAACTGGAGCAATAGCAAAGCGTTGAACTCCCACGCGGCCACGCTAAAACCACTAGCTGCACCGGAACCGGCAAGACCGATGAAGTGTTCGCTACCAATGTTGCTAACAAATAGGGACGCGCCGACCGCAGCCCAGTTCATAGAGCGACCAGCCAGGAAGTAGCCGCTAACAGTGCTATGGTTAGCTTTCCACATGGCGAGAAACCCGATAGCGAGGACCAGTAGGAAATACAAGGCCACAACAACGATGTCAGCGACTTCCATAGAAGCGCTGGAAGCCATGTTTTTAAAGTTCTGAAAAAAATGCTATGAGTGTATAAAAAATATGAAGAAAAAAAGCTATTTCATTGGTCTATATAAATTTGTTTGTTGAAGTTTGTTGATCTGTGAGAATCCATTATTGTTTGCTAACGTATGGAAAGTCTTGCAGGTTTCGCTGAGTTTGTCCAGTTCAGTGAAAGGAAACGCCTGGAAAAAAGTAAAAAATGACATTAATTTTCACAAATAAACCAGTCTGATGCAAGTCTGAAACCAGTCTGAAACCAGTCAGATACCATGTTATATACCAGTCTGTAACCAGTCTATCTCACAGTGCGATACCAGTCCAAAACCAGTCCAATAGTAAAGATACCAATTTGATACCAGTCTGATACAAGTCTGATTCCAGTCCTATACCAGTCTGATGATGATTCGTTTAATTGAGACCGACGCTTGTCACAACTGGTTCAAACATGTGCACAATAAATAATATACACAGCAATTATATGATATCATCCATCCATCCATCCATTTTCTTCCCCTAATCCACAAGACAAGTCAAAATGCTGTACAAAACAAACACACAATGCATTAAAACCATAAATAATCGCAGTACATTAAAAAGTCTGAAGATACAATCCTTCAGATGTGCACTGCTAAACAGAACTGTTTGTAACCTGGATTTGAACATGGTCAGAGAGAGTAGAAGTCTGTCTCACATTTTCAGGAATTCTAATGTAAATCAGATTGTAGTTGCACAAATCTGAATTGTTGCCTCCCAATGTTCAGTTCTGACTGTAAGCATCCAGTACATAAGCAACATCTACTGCGTATTGAATTGAAAAATAGCATTTTGCTGTATATGTTTTAGGATAAGCAAAAGGTTGTAAGAAAAAGGTTGTTTTAAAGCAAGATATGTTTATTTACTATCAGTACATGACCCATATTCCAGTCTGCCAGTGCTTTTGCTGTATTGGGAGTATAAATAAACCAAGATAAGCTGGCATATAATCACTCTTGCTCTATTTTTTTTATATCTTATCTGTACCTTTCTATTTTGAACCCATCATCTGTACTTCTTAGTAGGTTTTCCCGATGTTTCATCCTTAATCCCAAGAACTATTTCAAGGGAATGAAATCTCAGACAGCGAGTTGGTGATTTATAACCTGTGGGTGTGGTTAGACCTACCCCCTAATCCTGAGGGTTAGTTGGGAAAACCTGCTAAGAAGTACAGATGATAGGTGAGAACACTTTCTTTGTTTTGACTAACCTCTGTACGACTGAGAGCTTACACAAACATTTTGAACACACAACATTTGAACAACACTTTACAAAATGAATGAACCAGAAATACATGATAATTAAAAGGTAACGACCAAGTCAACAATTGATCAAAGGACATAAACCTTTGTCCAATTTCACCTCTGTATGGAAAGTCTTCAAACTGTGTTGTATGGTGCTGGTGTTGTCTGGTTCTTTTTAAGGTCTGTTCGGTACTGATTGAGACTTGACATTTACATTGATACAGTATTTTAATAGATAAAGCTAGGGTACCTAATTTTCAACCTGAATTTTAAACGCTAATGGGCCATTCTTTGCACACCTGTAATCACTTTGCTTGACAATTCTGCACTTTTGGCAGAATTGGCAATTACTGAGCAGCCATGTCCATACTGTACAATACATTTCCGGTGCAATGTTCCTATCAGCTAAAAAAATAAAATATAAATAAACTGTAACTATGTAATACAATTTATAGTTCATCACCCACTAGTTTTGCATGTTTTTGGAATGAATCTCTAGACAGAAAAGTGAAAACCTTAGCCAATCAGCTCTAAGCACAAACAGTCCAATAGTGACTTACAGGACTCTTTATTACAAGTATGCAAAAATACAACAAACAAACATGTTTTCTAATAAGTTGAAGACAGCATGTTGTGGTCTGATTTGTTCATAACATTCTACTTTGACAAGGCTCCTTCTGTTGGAGCAAATAATGTATTAAATATGAAAAGAAAAGTTAAGTACCCCAGCTTTAAAATACATTATTATCACTATACCATACATTTCTTGGTCTAATTGCTATGACAATTTGAGAACAACTGCTAAAACTGCCAAACTAGTATACAGAAAGAATAAGGCTAAAGAAAATGCTAATTTCCAATC